AACAAAAAGACGAAATCCATTCAATCGGAGGAAGGCAGCACATCCCTACAATGATGAGAATAACTAGAAAGCCGGACAAGCGGCCTGTAAATTGAATTGTAAGGAGAAAATGCAAAAAGCCTGGCAGGAAAGAACAAGCTGCATCTCCGCCAAATCGAGCATTGCCAGTGCGTCAGCCCAAGCGAACTGCTGGCGAAAAAGAGAAAAGACAGTGCCTGTGGCGCGAGCTTCTCGATAATAAGAGACGCATATCGAACGACACGAATACCGTCTTCATTGCTGCTCATTGAACATACTAACTCTGCTGCCTGAAATTCACGCGGGGAACAGTAAAGCGTCTTATTACAATCAAGACCAAAGCATAAGCAGTCAACTCGGCAGGTGGCAAACTTGCTTATTTAATGTTCTACAGCAGCTCCTCAACTGCGAAATCAGCTCGACTCTGCTTTCCCCCAGCAATCTAAACGCTTCTCCTTAACTGAAATAGGATCATTTTTCCACTTTTCGTATCAGAAAGTCAAAATTGCTTCACTTTCACTCGGCGCAAGAGAGTGGGTGTACCACACGTCAACAACATCCACCACCGATAAGGCTGTCAATCACTGTTTCTTGTCATAAGTGTTTAAGTATAACAGTTTTTACACAATTCAGAGTTTGCTTTGGCTATTCCGAGATAAATTTCTGTTTTTTAAAAGTATTCGGGGTCTCCAGGTGCCTTAATGTTTTTATTTACTGATTTATACTAGCTAAATTTTTCGCACATTAACTCAGATTTAGATGCTTTTAGAATGCCTGTACATTCAGCAGAAATATGCAGATCCGTGAAATCATTAATGCGTTGTCGCAGGGAGCTAATTTCATTGAAAATGCTGCAACAATGCTTTAAGACAAATTATCTAGTATGTGAAAAGTACGATTTTCACACACACACACACACAGTAGTCAGTTGCCCCTCCTGCTTTGCTATTCACGAATTGAGATATTAAAATACCTGGACGAGCTTGTTCGCGTGCTCCTGGAACATTTTGCCATTTTCAACAGTGGCCACTTCTTCGTGCTTTTGAGCGCTTTCGATAAGCATCATTAGTGGGGTGCTGGTATCCAGGAACGCATCACTGACGTGGTCTACAATCGCACGACGCAAATGACGCCTAAGGTCTTTGGCTTTGTGCCCCAAATGGACCATCGCTAAATCCAGATCTTCCGACGGCTCAGCACGTCCACACTGAAAACAATAACTGGGACAGTGGCCTGCTAAGTCAAAAACGGATGATTCGATGCAGTAACGAAGCCCACCGTTCTAATGTGATAGTAAGGGGTGTTTATC